CTGGCAATTCATCTACCAGCACACCAGACTGTCAGCACAGAGATGAATTTTCAAATTATGCTTCGTAACTTATGCTTCTATGATTTTTTTTGTCTTTTGCAGTGTTTGTCGTGTTTCACATATTAAGTCCGCCCTCTTGCCACGCTCACGCCCTGGCTATTTTGAAATGTTACTCATGTGTTCATAAGCTTGCCAGTGAGGTGAGGGCAAAGCTAAAAACGCCAACAACCATGATAGAACTTTTTATTTTTATGTTTTTTGTGATTTCAAATAATTTCACAAGAGTTGAGAATTTTCTGGCTGTGAGCGCTTACATGATAGGAGCGTATTCAGAGTACACCGAGGACGACCTACCGGTGCGAAAGTATATCTTATGAGGAAGACAATGAAGGTAACAGTAAACCCTATTGCAATCAAAAAACGATAAGCTTGGGAAATCACCCAATGCGGTTTTACCAATACGGTAAAATGTCGTTACTTGCGAAAAACTGATTATCGATCATGATTATCCGTGAAAATTACATATTGCGGTATTGAGCAGGAGTCGCGTTCTCGACGGGAACTTCACTCAACCTGTAAAACAAGGTAGTTAAGGCAGTTGATGTTAGGAAGGAAATCTTAGATTGAAAGTTTTCTTGGAGGTATGAAGAGGGAGGGGTTTCCAGCGTGACGTGATTCGCGCACAACTCAACGTTTTGGATTCGTCACTTTAGTAAGTAAGACGACACGCGCATTTCGAGACGAAATCGAACTGAAATTTTATTTCTCTGCACCATATCTGTGGTGCATTCTCTTCAATTAACAATGTGGAAGCCTTTGCTGAGCGCACCAGGTTGCTTCCGACACGTTCGAGGGTAGCACAGTATCCAACTGAGAGCTGCGATATTCCTCATCAACCTTCTGAACACACCTGCATACCAAAGGTATTATGCAGCAACCCCTATAACACTTGAACTCCTCAGACTTCTTTATCTGTCAATGCTCCTAGTGATTTCGCCACTTCTATCGACTATCCTATTGGGCACATATATCCCGTTTATGAACTATGAAGACGAACTGTGCACACACCTTCCTGGTCCTTGGCACATGCGAGGTGAATGGGTTCGCAGGCATGAACATCGTGCCACCTTTTCTGCTCAGAAGTGTACGGGAATGGGCTGGAGAGTAGTGATACCTGTGTGCCTTCTCCCGAGTACGCTCGCGCTGTCGCGCAGTTAGCCGCACACTTCACCATATTCAAGCGCGCTGCTTGCCTTTGCTCTCCCGTTTTGGTTGCTCTCCGTTGCTGAGTGCGTGTTTTGCTGTGGGAACTTGGCATCGACAGAAATATTGCAGCTTGTGAATAGCGCGGTGGAGTCGGGAGACTGAACCGAAGCATTGCTGTAGTCGAACACTTTCTAACGGAGAAAGGGACATGTCACTGTAGCTCAGTCGTACATGGAATGAACCTTTCTCGGAGGAAAATGTCACGTCTGCTGTCATAACATGCTCCCCTTCTCACAGCTTCTTAAAGACAGCCCCCGCGCTCAAGTAGTACATGGTCGTCCTTCCTTGTGCAAGTAGTACAGCCCCCAAGCTAGAGACTATCCCACTCTCGCAACTCCACAGCGAGCGATTAGCGAGCTACAGCCGCTGAAAGTTCTAGTTCTAACGCCCGCCTCAGTTGGACCGCCCACTTGCTAGATGCCCTCTGACGGAGGGCCGCTCAGTTGTTCTTTGTTGGGGCGGCGGGCATTAATCGGAATCGCATGCCCTTTTCGCTGACCGCGCTCGTGCTCATGAATGATTCTGCTCTCCTTTATTACATTTTATTCATTAGGGGCATATACATTCAACTCAACCCATTTCGCAAGGTGAAACGCGTAAAAATCACGAGTGACGCAATTTTCGTGGTGCAAAAGCTCGACGCACTTCACTACACTAAAATGTGCGCTACCGTAACCCCAAATTCGGACACCGAGTTTTTAAAATTTCTTTTTCCTTCCAAGAGTTTTTCCTCTGCGTTTTTGTTTTTTTTTGTATTCTTTTTTTGCACTGGATGATATCAACTACTGCGAGATGTGATAGAGAGATTTGTGAGCTAGGGGTTGCACAGAGACCGCAGGGAGGTGTGACTGTGAGCGATTTTGTTTATGTTGTTCTGGAGGACTCTTCTTGCTTGTTTTCTTCTTTGGGAGATTACTTATCAGCTACTGTTTCATAATTGAAAAGCAACTATCCATGACACTTTTATCGCGGGAGCTGTCTTTAAATTAGCAAACAAAGACATTCTCTTCTGGGAGTTCGAGCATGCAATAGGGTCTATTGTGGGCCACGTACATGCCGTGGGCCCTCCGCGCAAGACTGGCAGAAAAACCGCTTCGCGGGAGATTGTCCTCTCACTGTTTTCGAACCCTTTTCCACGCCGAATAAACAAGTTCATGATCTTAACGCTTTCCCTTGTTGTAACCTGGGCGCGATGTCGACTTTTTGACTGCCAAACGAAGTTATTAGATGGCTCCTACCTTCTAATGTTTCGACCTTCTTGCTTCCCTCAGAGACCTGAAAATAGCTCAAAGCTTTTAATTTGGTAATTACCCGAGCGAATGCCTTCTCCTTCCTGCATTTCCACCGCCTGTACCAAATGCTTCTGAGCAATCCAGTAACAACCGCAAACAACTCATTGAAGATCCCACTTAGCGCCTGCTTTAGATTTGTGCGACTAGTAAGGAAGAATGAGTCTCGGTGCCTCACCGTCTCGTGTAAGTCGAAATTGTTGAAGCGCAAGTCACCCTTACTGTCGCTCGCACTTACTACAAACGGTAAGGAATCTTTGTAGTTGAGTGACACCCTTTTCGTTGTTCATTCTTGGTTTTCTTTTCGTCTCTTACGTCAACATGATACACATCAAAGCCGCTCCCGTTACGCTCCTCAATCCCATGCTTGCCAAGGGGAAAAGTTATTATATCAGGCCTCTCCATCGAGATGTTCCTTGATGCGCGTAGCTACCACCCTCTCTGTTTCCCCGATATACGCACTACTGCAATCCTTCAAGTTGACAATTTATCCAGCTTCATTGAGGTGCCCTGGCTCACCGTTCGGGCAAATAACGCAACGTGATCTCATGCAACGCCCGTCATCATCTGTTGCGAACAAGTTGACGCTTGATATTGCTGCTGGGAATATTCACTAACCATAAGGCAACATCTTCCTGTAACTGAAACAGTGAAATACTCGGTGTATTTCAGAGCTGAGTCATCAGAAAAGGAATAATGGTAGATTCGCCGGCGTGGTACGGGTCGTTGACCAGCATTCGTTGTTCTGCGATATGCTTCTACCGCATAGCCGTTCTCTTTAGTTATTCTCGAG